CGACGGGTGGTTGTATGTCCGGCCGGTGGTTGATGATCGATGGAATGACGGACCGTTCGTGGGTAGATGGATGGATGAATGGACGGACCTATGGACGGACCGGTGGATTGATGGACGGACCGGTGGGTGGATGGATGATGGACCGATGGATGGATGGATAAGGGAGTGGGCTGTCCCCCACGCCTGGGCCCCCCACCCTCTCACTGTACAGCTGTGAGGGAAATACATGCTCCCTCCGGGGCCTGGAGTGAACCTCAACCCAAACCCGCCGTCAGCGGAGTCCAGCACCGCCCACTCGGAGCCGCGGGGGGTGGAGCCTGGGCCAATGGACGGGGTAGGATGAGGGCTGGCCCACCTCTTCTTCCCCGGTTTCCCACTCAGAAGCTACCTCTCCTTTCTCCCAGCCTCCAGCCTCTCTCCCAGTTTGCCCAACTACTCGGACACCTAGGTGTCAGGCCTGGCCTGGTGCCCAGCATAGCAACGTCTAGAGCCCCAGCAGGTACCGGGTCGCATCTCAGCTGGTCTTGCCTGAGACTCCTGGAAACCTGCTACATAGGGTGAGGGAGCTGGCTGCACCGGGGGTGGGGTGAGAGGGGATGGCACTGAAAACAACGGCTGCTGGAGCCTTATTAGGTGGGGAGCAATTGGCAGTAATTAGAGGAGGAAGACTGAGGCCCATGGGTGGGGTGGCCCAGATTCAAATGTTGAGCGTCCCCTCTACCCCCAACCCCCTCTTGAGGTGCCCAGGGCTCCTCCTGGCATTCAGGGTTCTCTGTAGTGCAGGGGAAGGGGAGGGGAGGGGGCGGTAGGGCAGGTTAGTGGAGCTCTTAGTGGCCAAGGCCAGGAAGGGGAGTCCTTTTTCTTCAGGGTGTGGGAGGTGCAGCTGGGTGCCCATTTGCATTTAAGGAGGTTCCTTTAGCTGAACAAAAACTTGGATTCCAGGGGATTAACTTGTGGTGGATCTGGGAGGGCCAGGTTCAGAACCAGGCACTGGTCCCAGGTCCCACGGCTTCCTGCTCGCACTCCCCACCCTGTTTGCCCCTGGGACAGACGGAGGAAGGGTGCCACTCTCAGCTCTCCCATATTTGCTAAAGGTGGAACTTTTTGGAGCTGTGGCCACCTCCCCTCTTTTAACCCCAAATATCAGGCGCAGTCACCTAGTCTCAGATGACGCCTCTAGGAGGCGCAGAGTGCCCTCCCGGCCACGGTGCTGAGCTGGCGGGAGCAGACCCCTCTGCCCGGGCTTCATGCACAGGGCTGGAGGAGACACTGCAGTTAGCAAGAGGCTGTAGAGGACATGAGAACACTGTCACCCACGTATCTTGTTCAAACAGTGCGCCCAGGGTGGTCTAGGGGTGTCTCATCTGGGAAAGAGGGCTGATGGGTGAGAGGGACTCGTTCTGTTCCATGAGGTCCAAAGACTGGGAGTAGGAGAGAAGCTACAGGGAACGGATTTCCTCAGGTTCGACCTAAGAATGTTCTAACAGCTGCCCAAAAAGTGTGGTTCTGGGAGGACATGAGTCCTGGGCACCCAGCCCCTGGCAGGCCCTGTGTTTGTTGACTTGCAGAGGGTGTGAGGAGAGAGGCATGAGGGCATGGTGAGGAGGGGGTGCAGGAATTGCTGCATAAGACGGGGGGAGCAGACTGTCCCTCACTCCCCATGGAAGTAGCAAGAGCTGAGCAAGGAAAGCGGGATACTGATGGTGAAATCATGCCAGTTGGACCTGGAAATCGGTAGCAGAGCTGAGTAGGTAAAATCAGGCACTGGAGAGCACTTCTTGTAAACAACAAAGCTTGTGAGTTGAAGCAATAGGCCACCTGGGCTCCTGGGCTGGGTGTAGGCAGGGGGACTGTGGGGGCAGGGGCTGCAGTGGTGAGAACTATAGCACACCAGGGAAGGGTGAGGCTTGGGGGCCCGTTGCCTGAGGAGCAGCTGAGATGGAGAGGGTTGAACTGGCTGGATGGGCTGGGATTGCCCAAAGCCCGGCCCTCAAGGTTTCAGCGCCTTGTCCCTGGGTACTTGGGCAGTCACACAGTTAGCCAGCCAGTAGAAAAAATACTTTTTATTAATTATTAGGAAAAATCCATTCATTTAAAGCAGGGTGTGCCAGGAGGTCAGGTACTGCAGGATGGATGAAGGACCCATGCAAGAGGAACAGTGAAAAGGGGGTGGACTCCACGCTCCACAAACTCAACAGCAACATGAACACAGAATCACAAACACGAGGGCCCGTCCTCAGGCCTCCTCCCACCAGTCCTTCAGCACGAGGCCCAGTGCTGACTTTAGAGGGCTGGTCCCTAGAGGTGCCAGGGCATCTGGAAGTGCTGGACCGGGAGCGGGGTGCAATGTGTGGCTTCGAAGTTGTGCAGATGTTTCTGGGCCTAAGGGAAGAGGCGGGACAAGTGGGGTGCACAGCACTGCAGTGAGTGGCAGCCACCAGACATCTCTCCCCCCCCCCTACCGCCAAACCCACTACCCACTCTATAAAAGCTGCCACTTCCAACTGTCCCCAAGCCCCACATGTGCCCCTGGCCACTCAGGCACCCCCATCTTGCTTCCCTCCCCTTAACTCACCAGAAACAAAGCCAGCTGCTGCCTTTCACGTGCACTCATGTCCTCCCCTGCAGAGAGGAGGTGCTCAAACATGGCCCATGCATCTGGGCATCTATCCCCTTCCCGGGCTCTTCCCAACCCCCTCTCCTGCCCCAGGACCGCCTTACCCACACTCCAGGGGAAGTCTGGCCCGTGTTCCGCCTGGTAGGAGCGGAGGACAGACAGACACCAGTCTTCCTCTACCTCCCATCGGCTGTAAATCGAGGCTAGTCAGGGAGAGACATGAGGGCCCATCAGCACCTGGCTTTGCCAGCCCCACCCAGAGCCTCCCCAGATCCCCTCTCACCTTCCTCCAGCTGCGAGGAGGCCTCCAGCCACTGCCTCACCACTTGAAGACCCTCTTCTGCCATCACATGGGGATACCTGCAGGGGCGATGCCAGATGGGAGTTAGACCCATTCGCTTCACTCCTCATCCCTGAGCCTTCTTCCCTTCCTCCTGGTGCTGGTGTACACACATGTACACACATGTACAGGTAGGCACACACACACCCTGGCTCTCACCGATGCTGCAGGAGCTTCAGCAGGAGGTCGTTGCCTCGGTTGGACATGATGTCCTCAGGAGCCCTGGAGGTGAGAACGTACATGGAGGGGAGGAAGGGTTTGGATACCTGGGTTTCTAGTGGGCAGAGGTGAGCAGGGCAACTGTCTGGCTCTCTGGGACCCAGGAGGTAGAGGTTCCCAGGACTCACGTGGTGGTGATGATCTCATCCTTGGTTCTTCGGATCAGCAGCACCGGGCCCTGGTACCTTCAGGGGACAGAGCAGTGGGGCGGGAGAGCTCAGGGAGGCAGGTGGCAGCTGGCCACCTCATCCTGCACTGGCTGTATTCCTAGCCCCTGCTCAGCAAGGCCCATGGGCTAGACCAGCCGTGGGCAAACTACGGCCCGAGGGCCGGATCCGGCCCGTTTGAAATGAATAAAACTAAAAAAAAAAAAAAAAAGACTGTACCCTTTTATGTAATGATGTTTACTTTGAATTTATATTAGTTCACACAAACACTCCATCCATGCTTTTGTTCCGGCCCTCCGGTCCAGTTTAAGAACCCATTGTGGCCCTCGAGTCAAAAAGTTTGCCCACCCCTGGTCTAGACCCTCACCCAGGGATGAGTCAGAATATTTAAGGGCCTGCGTCGACCTATGAACCAGGTCTTGGTTCACTTCCCGTCAGGGCACATGCCCAAGTGGTAGGCTCGATCCCCAGTGGGGGGCGTGCAGGAGGCAGCTGATCGATGATTCTCTCTCACCATTGATGTTTCTATGTCTCCCTCTCCCTTCCTCTCTGAAATCAATTTTAAAAAGAAGAAGAAGGTGGAGGGTCCCAGGGACCTGGGTTAGGCCATCTAGGGTGGGGGCAGGGTCACTCAAGGGATTTGGGGCGGTGGTCACTTGCCAAGTTGCACTTTAGTACTAGCTTCAGCGGTTGCACCCCCAGCAGAGCTGTGAGGGGGCTCAGGGGGGCAGGTGTTACCTGCACAGCTGCTCTGCGTTGTTTAGATTGAGGTGCTGCCTCACGGTCCTGGTCACCAGGCCCCCTAGAGTGGGACGAAAGTGAAGGGAGAGCAGAGACAAAGCCCTTGCCCAACACAAAGGTCTTCGCTATTCATGGGGGAGTCTGCTTCTCAGCAAGGGGCCACCCACTCCCCGCCATGGAAACGGGAACCATCGCCAGCTCACAGCGCCAGGGCAGCCCACCCCCTGCAAGGCAGGCCTGCGGCTGTACTCACTGCAGCTGTCTGGCATGACTTTTAAGGCCAAGGGCACCAGGTCATCAAAGGAGGCATCCAGGATCACAGCACTAATGTCTGGGTAGGACATGGCTGCCCACGTGGCTGGTACCAGGACCGGGAAGAAGGGCAAGGACTGAGGGACTCCCGCCCACCACCCCAGCCTCCTCCCACTGACCCTGTAGGCTGACCCCACCCTCCCTACTAGGTTAGCCCCAGGGCTCTCCTGGCCCTCATGTCACTCGTGGGCACTGCCTGGAGGACGGAGCGAGACGATGACAGTGCACTGAGACAACCCACAGGAAGCTTCGCCTCCCTGATCTTCCCAGCCCAGGCCCCAGGTCTACTTGTGAAAACGGGGTGTCAGTGTGGAAGGAAATGTGAAGTGTATGTGCACAGGATACCTTCGTCCAGACCAGCCCGAGACCCTCTCCTTCCTGAAGCCTCCACCCCACTCCGGGCCACTCCCCTTGGGGGAGGGGGAGCTGCATGAGCGTACAGTGTGGGGAGGAGGGAGGCTGGTACCAGTGAAGCCGCCGATGGACCAGGCATAGAGGATGATGTCCTGGGGCTGGAAGCCCAGGCGGTGAACAGCAAACTGGACCACCACGTCCATGGCGTTGGCCTCATTCTGTGGGAATGGCACCCCCTGCAGGAGGAAGGGCAAAGGCAGGAGTGGGTCAGCACCACCGGCCAGCCGGCCTGCCGCCCACACCCTCCCAGAGTGGACCCTCCCTGCAGCTACTCTGCAACAGAGGAGTAAAAGGGGGGGCTCTCCCCAGAAACCAGCGTGGACAGAGATCCACCCTCTGTCCACTGCCTTCCTTCCTGCAACCCCCCTGTGAGAGGCTCCCCATGCCTGCAGCTCCCTGCCCTTGGCACCCAGGTCACAGGTGAGTGGGAGCCCCACAGAAATATGCAGAGGGTCTCACCGTACTCCCGGCAAAGCCTGGATGGTTCCAGCCCAGGACTGAATACCCAGCTGCAACACAAGGTGGGGAGGGGCTGGGGCCTCCTGGCCTACACCCCCAGCGCCCCCCCCAGCAGCAGGGCACCAGAGCACTAACCATGCCCACCAGGGGTAAATAACGCTGAGCCTTCCCAGGATGGGGAGACAACACCCACCAAAGGTCCCGAGGCAGCAGAGGGAGATGTGTGATCGTGAGGAGGGATAAAGGTTAGGGACACAGCCCAGGGCAGGGACGTATGGTGCACAAAGCAAATGGGGGGAGGACTTTCCCCACAGTGAAGGTTTCAGACTTTACCCACGGAAAGTGGTCAGGCCAGGGGAGATCACGTCCATGTGGGAAGATGGGGATGTTCCATTCCAAGGGGCAGAGACAAGAGGGCTGAGCCCTGGGCCTACCTTCCAGAGGTGTGGAGACGCAGCCCACCTCGTAGAAGCCCGCATTCCCCTCGCAGCAGATCACCTGCGGAAGGAGGCAGGAAGGAGGCTGGGAAAGGGCCAAGGGGCTGAGGAACCCGTGTGGCAGGGAGGGCAGCTGTGGGAGCTTCGCAGGGAAGAGGGAGGCGCATTCCTGTTCTCTCCATGGGGAATAGAAACAACGGTTTCACAAGGTCCCGGAGCTGAGAGGCAAGGAGCAAACATCCAGGAAGAATGTTCTAGTTGCCCCGCTCAGCTGCCCTTGGAGACACAGGCGGGGTCTCTCGGGGATGGGAGTTGAGGTTTTTCATTTCCAGGTTTGGGGTCTACTTTTTCTGACTGCCTTTTGTGTGGTATGGCAATTGCTTTTCCTCTCCCTCTCTGAGCTCAAGTCTACACCCCCACACTAATTCCAAGGTGCCCCAGGCCAAAGCCTGGACGATGGGGTTTCCCTGGGCTCCTGCAGCGGGCAGAAGCCGGGACTGGAACCTGCTCCCCCGCCTGCTGGCTTAGTGCTGCTTCCAGGGCTGCTTCATGGAGGCAGGGGCTCTGGAGCCGGTGCAAATGCCGGCTCTCCCACCAGCTAACTGTGACCCGGGAAGCTTCTGTGCCATCTGTAAGGGGCCAATATAAACGACCTCTTCCCGGGGTTGTGGGGACTGAGTACAGGTGTTGCACGTGGTTAGTGCTTTCTTCTCGGGGACGATTACAATGACGACTTTTGGTCTTTGAATGTCAGCTGCACTTCATCTAGTTCCCTGTGGTGGGCTTCCTGCACCAGCAGGTCTTTAGGTGGAGCTGGGGGTGGGGTAACCACAGGTGCGCTTCCTGAGACCCCCAGAACCTCGCTGCCCTCCCCACACTCTAGCTCGGGCCCCTACCCCTGCTCCCTCTCACCAGCTTCTGTCCCTGGGGCTCAGCTGTCCCCCGCCGGTCCACAAACATGGTGTCAATCTCGTTGCCATCACAGGCCAGCAGCTTTGCCCGGCGCCCATCACACTGAGTGGGGAGATGCAAGGCCAAGTTAAGGGCAGGAGGCCACCTCCTTCAGGGGAGAGAGCTGTGGGGGGAGGGGCAGGGGCAGGAGGCTCACCTCTTCCACCAGCCGGGCCTGGCCCTGCAGGAGCACAGGCATGAGGGCCTTCTGGAGCAGGTACACGGAGCCGGGGTACAGCATCCGGCGCCCCAGGGTGTGGGCCACCAGGTAGCTGTGGGAGCATGGAGTTAAGGGGGCCCAGGCCTGTCCCAGACCGAACACAAACAGCTTCACTGGCCTCTTTCGGGACTTAATGAAATATATATACAAGGCTGGTGTTTTTCAAACTTTTTTTACTGCAACCTTTGTAAGATATACATTTTATATTGTAGCCCAGTATATACAATTCTGAAAGTTTTATGAGATAATACACAATACTTTATATATGTAATAAGTAAAAGCAAAGTTATTAAAGATGAATCTGTTCATGTATAAATGCAACTTAATAAAAGTCCCAAAACAAATAATACTTGGGAAAAAAATGACGGTGATTCACTAAATTAATTTCAAGAGTCACTAGTAGGTCAAGATGGGTAGTTTGAAAGACACCAAATAGACTGCAACTCCTTCGGGGCAGGGACCTGGCTGTTTTGCTCACTTTTTAAAAAAATTATTATTATTTATTGATTTCAGAGGGGACGGAGGAGGGAGACAGAGATAGAAACATCAATGATGAGAGAGAATCATTGATTGGCTGCCTTCTACTGAGGATCGAGACCGCAATCCAGGCATGTGCCCTTGACAGGAATCGAACCAGGGACCCTTCAGTCCGCAGGCCAACAGTCTATCCACTGAGCCAAACCAGCGAGGGCTGTTTTGCTCACTTTGATATGCCTGATATCTGCCCGTAGGAGGTGCCAGAGCCTGGCGCACAGTAGGGCGTAATAAACTTTTACTGAACAAATGTGCTAATCTGGACATGTAAGATGTAGTAGGTGCTGCTGCTGACAAGAACAATTAACCACTTCCAGTTCACCCCCGAGTAGGGTTTGTCCCGAACAACACTGCATGACCCCTTCCAGCATCCCCCTGAAAACCCCAACTTTGCTCGCCCCTCTGACAGTCAGCACTGTCAGCACCAGCCACCACGGCTGCCCTCCCTGGCCTGGAACGTGCCTCTGGCGCCACCACCAGGAGCTCCACTGTTACTCCAGCATCATCAGTGCCCACGGCTACCATTTCCTTGGGCTCTACCTCATGCTCTCCGGTCCCCCGAGAGCTCGATGCCCTTCACAAACGCCACCCTACGTGCTGTCGCCAACCTGCGAGGTGGGTTACGCACGGCGCACAAACTAGCTTGCTCAGGTGGATGGCCAGGAGCCAGGACACAGCCAGGGCTCTGTGTCCCCTCCCCACCTCCCTCTAGGCCTCATCGAAAGAGCTTTCGTGGCCCTGGCCAATGTTGCTCAGTGGTTAAAGCGTTGGTCCACGCACCCAAGAATCACAGGTTCAATTCCTGATTAAGGGCACGTACCTGGGTTGCAGTTGAATCCCCGGCCCCAGTCGGTAGGTGTGTGTGTGGGGGAGGCAAAATTTGATGTCTCTCTCTCTCTCCACTTCCACCCACCCACCCTCTCTAAAAATCAATGAAAAAAATATCCTCGGGTGAGGATTAACCAAAAACACCCAAAAAGAGCTTTCGTGTCAGACAGAACAGTGTTACTCCCCCAGCTCTCCCTCACCGCCAGGAGCCCTTTCCTTCACACGTGCACATGGATAAACATGACTTTGCCACAAATAATATGAAGCACGCAGCGGATGACAGCTGTCTTACAATGGAGCACCCAGTTCCAGAGCCCTGCCCCCCCACTTTATCCCCGCCCCCACCCTCCCACCCTGCGGGCCTCTCCTCCCTGCTGCTTCCCACCTGGTGATCTGACAAGGCAGCTTCTTGGCGCGGTTGAGGAGGGTGTCTGCTGTCCCCCGGTGCAGGGGCTCTGGGCGGAGCAGGGCCACGCCCCGGCGGGAAGGGCCCCCTCGGGACTCCTTCCTGAGGAATGGAAAGATGAGGGGAGGGTGGGGTCGGGAGCAGCAAGGGGGGGGGAGGTCTGAGGTCCGAGGGATGGTGGGTCTAAAAGGAGAGGGTGCTGGAGGCAGGCCTTGGCCGCAGGGAGGGAGGGGCGAGCAGGGACGGAGGGAAGAGCTGCGGCTCACCGGCTGCTGGGCTCCTCCCAGTGGAAGTCCACTGGCCAGCTCCTGAAGTCAAAGTTGTAGCTGGCCAGCTGCCTCTGTGGGGTGGGGAGAGAAGGAGCTGGGCCTCCAAGGGGCTTGAGAAGTGGAGGGAGGCCCACCTCCCACCCTTGTCATCCTGGGGCCTGGCCCTCAGGCAGCCTGGGAGGCGGCGGCGGCCGGACAATCCAGCGAGGGTGTCCTGTCGGGAACCAGCCCGCCGTCTGCCCGCTTCCAGCTGCGCTTCACCAACATCCAAGGCCGCTGGGCCCCAGGAGGGCGGCCGCAGGTGCGGGTGTTTCTGAGGGAGGGGCGCTGTGGCCAGTCCTGCTCCCTTCCCCACCTGGGTCCTGCGCCTCTGCTGTCTGGAGGCTCAGAAATCCCCAGTGGATCAGACTGGCTACCCCAAGCTTGGGTGAGAGGGGAGGAGGGAAGTCATGTCCAGAGTGGCCCCTCCGAGAGGGGAGAGGGCGCCTCCTGAAGGAAGCCCTCCGCCTGCCCCTCAGGGCCACCTCCCTCCCCTCCGTGTCCCTCCCCGCCCCCAGATCCCAGTGCTCTACTTTATGTTGAGAGTTGTTTCTTATTTTCTGTCAGAGAAATTTTTTTTTTATTTATTAATACTTTTAATAGAGTTGTACTTTTAAAATAATTTATGTATAATAGTTAATATATGTGGAAGATATAGTACATAATGTTTTTAGTCACTAGAGAATGATGTATGTGGGAATTGATTCATGTATCCCTTTCAGCAAACTTATGATCATTTAAGAGTCCAAACACTGGCTCCAATATCTTCAAACAGAGAAATTTTTGATCAAAAATAACTTGACTCAGAGAGAGCAACAGAAATTTTGTACAAAAATATAAAGAGCAAAAACAAAACAAAATGAAGAAAAGCACAGTCCAGGCAGGCTTTGCTCAGACTGGACTCGAATTCAGACCCAGCCACTCCTCAGCTCGGGCTCGGCCAGGGTCACCGTCCTCTGCCTGTTGCCTCCGATGGGTGAGTGAGGGTGGTGAGGCCCCTCACGCGGTTCTTGTGAGGATTAGAAAGCGCACATGCCAGTCACATGACTGCAGGGCACGGCAAACTGTGGTGTGCTCAATGGCGGTGCCACGGCCTTTGGCCCCAGAAAGCCCTGTAGCAGGAAAGAGCTTCACAGGGTCCTGCGCCCTTCTCAAGGGTAATCACACTCCAGCCTGGCCGGCGGGCACCGCTCCCGGACCCTGTGCCCTGGCTTCCCCTCCTGGCGCCACGCTGTGCCCCGGGCACAAGAGTGGACATCCCTGTCCATCTTGTCCCAACCCCGAACAAAACTAGCACGGAGCTCAATGCACACAGCAACAAAACATATACTGACCTGAGCTCTGGGACAGAAACCCCGCCAATGTTTCTACATCTAGGCAATTCTTGCAGGTGGCGGGGGGAGGGGGAGGGCAGGAGACCGTTCTGGCAGAATACTCCATTAGAAGGGGAGGAAGGAAAAGTTCATGGCGGACAGTTCACGTGCAGAAAGGAGAAGTGACAGGTCCCTGGGCAGCGGGCACACCCTCCCCCTGGCAGTAGCGGCACCTGCTTGGCACCCGCCCTGGACTCTCTCACCTTGTTCTCCGCAGACTGGTTCCTATGTGTGGCCTCCAGGATGGTGATGAACTGCCGGTACTGGGGGTTGGTCCAGCGGCCAACGCCTGGTGGAGGGAAGCAAGATGAGCAGGTTTCAGGAAGAGAACAGGAGACGGGCAAGCAGAAGGCCCCGGAGGAGAAATGAGAGGAAAGGGTCCCAGATCTGGAGAAACGGAGGGCAAGCCGATCCCCCTGCACAGCCAGCACTGGCCGCAGCACGTCCCCCTCGGCTGGCCCTCAGTTTGTTTCTTCCCAGACTGCTGACCGCCCACCCTGAGTGCGCATTCTCCCAGCCTGAAGAGGCCACGCACCCTCAATCTCGGCCCCGCTAACACTGGGGTCCCTCTCCCATTGCCGTCCTTCGCCAACGCCTGCCGCTCGCTTTCTGCACAGTCTCGCTCCTGCCCCATAATTACTTCCTCACTGGGCCCAAGTCCCCTTCCTCCAGCCTCCAGCCCCTCACCTGGGTCTCAGCACTCTCCCTGTCCCTCCTCCATTCTTGCCTCCTTCCAATTCCTGGACCGCTCCTCCCTGGTTGCCATGCTACCTCCCTCTCTGAACCAAGAACCATTCTCAATGCTGAGTTCCCTCTGCTCTTCACCCGGCCCCTCAGTGATCGCATCCGCTCTCCCTTCACTGTCAAGGAGCCTCAAAACCTGACACCTGTCCTTCCAATGACCCAACAGGTGCCAGGCCTTGCTCTGACATGGGAAAGACAGTAGTAAATGAGATGCAAAGGCCCGGGCCTCAGAGAGCTGCCACTTTAGTTGGGGGCGGGGTGGGGCTGGAGGACAAAAAACAGTCAAGAAAATTTCAGAGAAGGATAAGTGCTACAAAGAAAATAAAACTAGAATGAACTAGAATGCGGTGTGTCATCAGAGGTAGCACCCAGCAATGCTGAGAGCGAAGCAAGCTGCAGGACAAAAATGTCAGTGCAGCCCTGGCTGGGTACTGAGCTGGTTGGAGCACCGTCACAACACACCCAGGCTGTAGGTTCGATCCCTGGTCAGGGCACATACAAGAATCAACCAATGATGCAGAAATAAGTGGAACCTACCAATCAGTGTTTCTCTCCCCTTCCTCGCTCTCCTAATCAATAAAAACATATTCTCAGTGAGGATAAAAAAATGCAGGAAAAAACCACACCCGACGACAGTGGTTACTTTGGGGAAAGAGCAGCACAGGACTGGGGAAGAGGCCCAGGTTCTATTTCAGTCTAAGACACATGCCGGGGTTGCCGGCTTAATCCCCAGTAGGAGGTGTGCAGCAGGCAGCGATCAATGATTCTCTCTCATCATTGATGTTTCTGTCTCTCTCTCCCTGTCCCTTCCTCTCTGAAATCAATAAAAAAACATACATTAAAAAATATATATATATTTTTAAAAGATAACAATGAAAAACAAGATAACAATGCCCATGGTTTTCCACTTACATACACTTCCCTTTTGAACTTGACATAAATGGAATCATACTGCATAAATTATTTGGCAGTCAGCTTCTTTCCTTCAGCATTACATGTATTACTACATCTGCATTGCTGAGTGTAGCTGAGTCTGTTCCTTTGCATTGCTTTAGTTTGTTGCTATAGGACTATACTCCCTAATGCATCTACCCACCCTACTATTTGTGGCTGTGGAGTTGTTTTCAGTTTAGCATTATTACAAACATAGGTATGAGTATATGTGGAAGAGTGGTAGGGTATATGCATCTTTTCTAGCTAATAGCAAACTTTTCTCATAATTATTTTTTCATATTTAGGACTCAAGCCCTTTAAGGAAAAGATCACGCCTTGACCATTCTCAATTATTCTCCCTCAGGGCCCAACACAAAACTGCAGAAGCTGCTGTATAAATATTTACCAATGATGAATAGATACCAACCAGGCTCTTTCTCCACCTACCTCGGAGGCAGGCCACCCCTGCCAGCAGTAGTAGCAACGTCCCAGCATAGTGAGAGAACGGTACCACTTTGGACAGACTCAGGTAACCTGGGAGGAGAGAGAAATCATGTGAGAAGCTTTCCCCACTGCCCCTCAGATGCGCTTCCCAGTTCCCCCAACCTCCAGCCCCACACTCCCTCACTGGGGCAGCCGAGAGAAGACGGAAGCGAAGCCATCCTTGCAGGTCCCCTGTCTTCTTTAGGGGGTCGGCTCATCTGCCAACCACCTGCCCGTGTCCTGTCCCACCACCTTTGAAACCACACTGACCTTTCCTGTATAAGTAGAAGAAGGCGAAGGGAGAGGAGTAATAAGAGATGGACCAGAAGACTGAAGCCTGCAGCAGAGAGACAGGGACAAGCAATCAATACACACACACACACACACACACACACACACACGCACTCCCCTGCCGTTTCCAGGCCTAGGCTCTGAGCAAAGTGGATAACCTGAGGGATATTATGTGACGTACCTATCCTGTGCATGACATCATGCACACAGTAGGTGCTCAATATTTGTTGAGGGCAATGTGTCAGAGCATAACAGGCTGGTAAAAGTAAGTACAAGTTCTACTTTCTTCCTGTTATCATCTCTAGACATAATCCATCACATTTAGAGGCCAGGCTTTCTTTCTACTCGAGTTAATCAAGTCTTTTCCTCCATTCCTGCTCAGGACAGCCTGGTCCCCAAGAGATGCACAAACATCACCATAGGAATCCTGCCAGAGAGAACAGCTGTCCCTGCAGCCAAAGAGGTTAGTTGCCAGGAGGACAGGTCACTGGGGACTGCAGGACTCAGCACCTGCGGATGGTTCCAAGAGTAAACACATTTTCCTCATAGCTCAGGCTGGCCCCAGAGAAAGTGGGCACAGTCAACGGGAGTGCCAAGAAAGCACGCGCTTGATAGTGTGTCTGTGTGTTGGAGAGGTAAGCTACGAGCCTGGAGCAGGCCCCACCCCAGGGGCACTCCTCTCCCAGGCTGGGGAGGAGAAAGGTCAGGAGGGCCACTGGGGCTGAAGAGAGGCAGTAGTCCCAGGCGCCAGGGTAGACGTACCAGTGCCAGGATGCTGTCGGCATGTTTCTCCAGGGCCCGGGGCTGATAGTACGTATCCTGCCAAAACAGATGCCCACGTTAAGGATCCTGCCCCCTGACAAGTTCTTCCCCTTCCCTTTTGGAAGCCCTAATGTGTGTCCTCTGGTTTTAGCCTCCAAAACTGTCCCTCCTAGGACACCCCTGGCTCCCAAAGACCCTTCCCAGCCATGCTCTGAACCTGATCTCCCCTCCCCCCCACCGGCGCCGACCCCCAGACCATGAGAACAAACACAGGGGGCTGGACTTAGAAGCAAAAATGAAAGCAGCATTGGACGATTTTGGCTTGGTTTTCAAAACCCAGTGAGTTTTTTTTTTTTTAAGTTTTTCTTTTCTTTTTTTCTATATTTTATTTTATTTCTTTTACAGAGAGGAAGAGAGAGGGATAGAGAGTCAGAAACATCGATGAGAGAGAAACATCAGTCAGCTGCTTCCTGCACACCTCCTACCGGGGATGTGCCCGCATCCCAGGTACATGCCCTTGACCGGAATCGAACCCGGGACCCTTCAGTCCACAGGCCGATGCTCTATCCACTGAGCCAAACCGGTTAGAGCTTAAGTTTTTCTTTTTTTAATTGATTTCAGAAAGGAAGGAAGAGGAAGAGAGAGATAGAAACATCAATGATGAGGCAAAATCATTGATCGGTTGCCGCCTGCACGCCCCACACCGGGGATCCAGCCCGAAACCCGGGCAAGTGCCCTGTCGGGGAATCGAACCATGACCTCCTGGCTCATAGGTCGCCGTTCAACCACCGAGCCCCGCCAGCCGGGCTCGAGACCCAGTTCAAATGGGCTGTGGACGTGTGCCTATGGGGAGAGTGGGGTTAGGAAAGACAGGAACGGGCAGCATGACAACTTTAAGAGGGAAATAAGGACATCCGAAATAAGTGGGCTGATCAACGAAAGGAAATGTGGCTGGAGTGGGCAGTTACAGGAGACCGGAAACATCATTTGAGATAAGAAGGAGGAGAACTTAGGGCACAGCCTACCGCCGTGCCCAGGTCCATGCGCGCAATGCCCCCGGGTCTCCGGAGCAGGCTGCGGGAGGCGGAGCGCAGCCGGCAGGGCGTTTGTTGAAAAGTCCGGTGGACATGCAAAACGTACCACAGGGAAGGGAACACGGAGCCGGAGGCACCCAGGGGCACTGAGGGCGAAGAAATCGACAGTTTGGGGCAAAGCCATCCAGCGCCCGAGCCCGCGCAGCGTCTGCCCAGGACTTGGGAGTCCACCGGGCCGGCCGGGAAGTCTCGGCCGGGCGGGGCCGCGGGAGGAGAGGCAGGAGCGCGGGGAGCAGGAGGGAGCGGCGGCACACGGCGACCGGGCGGCCAGTCCGCAGGCGCCACTTTAACCCGGAAGCACCACGCAGGCTGCGCGCACAACTGACTTGACAAGCGGGCTCCCCCGATTTCCGATAATGGGCGCTTCTGCGGGGCAAGGCCGCAAAGGGGCGCGGGCCGTACCATGTCCCCACGGGGGGAGGACGCGACTCACCCAGGAGCTGGGAGGGGGCGCAGTGACCGACGCTGGAGTCTCAGGGGCGCCGGACCGCGCCCTTTCAGAGTCCCTTTCGCGGTAGATTTTGTAGAGCCGGGGGCCGAGGACGCAGCTCAGCAGCTTCGCCATGGCCCCGGCTCGGGCCGCCGCTCTCCGGCTGCAGTTCCCCGCTAGCCCCGCCCCCCGGCCTCCGGGGGCTGCGTGCCCCTGACGTCAGCACGCACTGGCTCCGCCTCCAGCCCCGGCGGGCGGCCTTCAGCCGGGAGAGGGATCCGGTGCCGGGGACCTACGGGGGCGGCGATGGTCAGAAATTAGTCGGAGGAGCTTGGAACGCGGAGAGTTAGCAGGTGACCGGGCAGAGTTCAACCAGCTTTTTCACTGGAGCGACATTGGGCAGGATGTAGGATTAGGAACACTTGACAAAAACAAACAAAAAAAAGGTTAGGTGTCTAGGAATACAAGATTTTATGAAGAAAAAACATATAAAGTTTTTGATAGAGGTAAACGATGGACAACTACACCATGACCATGGATAGGCTGAGTATGGTGAAGGTGTGTGAAAAAGAAAATGGTTGAATTATCTCTAATGTCGAGTGAAAAAAAAGAAGCCACAGATTACGTACAACATGCCAGCATTGTATAAAGTTCAAAAACACGTAAAATGTAATGAACAACTGAAAGATAAAGAGCAAATTTGGAAAAGTGTTACACAGCATAGTTAATTTTTAGTTGAAATGGTAATATTCTGTTTCTTAATAGAACACAGGTTTTATTTTTCCTTGTACCTTACACCTACATAATATATATATCTGTTAGCTTTTTTTTAGTGTATTTTATTGATTTTTTTTTTACAGAGAGGAAGGGAGAAGGATAGAGAGTTAGAAACATTGATCAGCTGCCTCCTGCACACCCCCTACTGGGGATGTGCCCGCAACCAAGGTCCATGCCCTTGACCGGAATTGAACCTGGGACCCTTCAGTCCACAGGCCAATGTTCTGAGCCAAACAGGCAAGGGCCAGCCTTTAGCTTTTTATTACAGTGAACGCACACAGAAAAGCGCACCAGTTGCGTAGATCCATGCCTCAGCAGCCAGATCAAGAACAGACACATCATTACCACCTAGAAGACCCTCTGCGTGTCACCACCAGTTGCTACCACCCCACAAAGCGTAACCACAACCTTGATTTTCTTAGATTACTTTTTTTAAAAAATAATTTATTGATTTTTTACAGAGAGGAAGGAAGAGGGATAGAGAGTTAGAAACATCGATGAGAGAGAAACATCGAGCAGCTGCCTCCTGCACACCCCCCACTGGGGATGTGCCCGCAACCAAGGTACATGCCCCAGACCGGAATCGAACCCGGGACCCTTCAGTCCACAGGCCGACACTCTATCCACTAAGCCAAACCAGCCAGGGCTTAGATTACTTTTGCCTGTTTGTGTACTTTATGACTTCTTTTACTCTCGTTATGTTTGTGAGATTCAATCTGGTTGTATATCACAGTGATTGGTGCATTCTCATTGCTATCGAATGGTCCGTTGTCTAACGATGCCACAGTTTATTTAGCTATTATACAGTTGTACATTAGATATAGTCTTTGGTATGCATGGACTGTTAGGGTCACCAGAGGAGGAACTCACGAGGCCAAAGTGGTAAGGGATTGTAAATTTACTAGAGGCCCAGTGCGCGGATTTGTGCACTGGTGGGGTCCCTCAGCCTGGCCTGCGGGGATCAGTGGACCTCTGCACCGCTGCAGCCCAGCCTTACCCACCAGCTCATTGGGCTCTAGCCTGCTGGCTGCCTTGATCCCGCACAGCACGAAGTAGTGCTCGAAGCTGCAGGTGGCTGGGGAGGAGCTGCAGGGGGAGTGTCCGAGGGAGAGGCTCCCGCCTCTGATGCAGCTGAGCTCCCCATGAGCTGGCCAGGGGGCTTCTGGTGCCTGTCGGTCATCTGAGCCACACTCCTGCTATGGGAGCACACTGACCACCAGGGGGCAGCTCCTGCATTGAGTGTTCGCACCTTGGTGGTCAGATTGCTTCATAGCGACCGGCTGGTCCACCAATGATCCAGTTGCTTAGACTTTTATATATATACTAGAGGCCCAGTGCATGAAATTCATACACTGGAGGGGGGCGTCCATCAGCCCGGCCTGCACCCTCTCACAGTCTGGGACCCCTCGCTCCTTACCATCCATCTGCTTGCTCCTTACCGCTCAGCTCGCTGCTCCTTAGTGCTGCTGCAGAGGTGGGAGAGGCTCCTGCCACCGCCACTGTGCTTGCCAGCTGTGAGCCTGGCTTCTGGCTGAGCAGCGCTCCCCCTGTGGGAGCGCACTGACCACGAACGGGCAGCTCCTGTGTTGAGAGTCTGCCCCTGGTGGTCAGTGCATGTCATAGCGAGCGGTTGAGCAGCCTTAGCATATCATTAGCATATTACACTTTGATTGGTTAAACGGAGGACCAGATGACTGGACACTTAGCATATTGGGCTTTTATTATATAGGGTTAGGTCATCTGGAGACCAGATGGGCTGAGCCCCAAAATGGTGCCAGCACCCCCAAAGACGGGGAATTAGAGGTTTTTAAAGGACTCTAGTTGGGTTTTTTCTGGGCAGAGAATTCTCTGTGCAGGTCCGGATCCTGGGAAACTCCGGAGGGGAGAGATAATGGACTTAGCAAGTGGAATGTGGTCTAAGCAAAAGGGAATGTCCATTGTGAAGTGGCCTAAAGGTCAGTTCCCACAAGAGGGGATATCGATTCAATTATTTGATTAGACTTAACATAGACTATTTTATAAAAAAATTTTTTTTTAAAGAAGTAGCCTTTAAAAATAAATAACACATTAAGAACTGTAGGCCACTTGAAGATCTGCCTTGAGAGCACTGCCTGGGGCCAGTGAATTTTCCAGGTCCTTGCTACTCTCCTCCTTGAGTAATAACTTCATATACTCATCAGAGGCTGATGAGAAGAGGTCTGTATATTCTGTTTCTTAATAGAACACAGGTTTTATTTTTCCTTGTACCTTACACCTACATAATATATATATCTGTTAGCTTTTTTTTTAGTGTATTTTATTGATTTTTTTTTTACAGAGAGGAAGGGAGAAGGATAGAGAGTTAGAAACATTGATCAGCTGCCTCCTGCACACCTCCTACTGGGGATGTGCCCGCAACCAAGGTCCATGCCCTTGACCGGAATCGAACCTGGGACCCTTCAGTCCACAGGCCGACGCTCTATCCACTGAGCCAAACAGGTTAGGGCAAGAAAGGCCATTTTAAATAATTTCTAAGGTATTGACTGGGTGTACAGTCTCATGCTGGGTTCCATGGAGACCAACCTGGAGACTCAGTTCCTTCCTTCATGGCGGGCATCTCTTAAGGTGGAGGAGAAAAGGCTTCCAAACTGGCAGGACCCCTTCTATGCAGGCTTCTCGGCATGGAGAGGCTTCTGTCGGAGTCCCTCCACCGACGTGGGGCCAGGAGTCAGAAGGGTGAGGAGGCTGTCTTCGGAGAGGCCTGGACTGGGCCTCTTTCCCATCAGGACAGAGAGGCAGTGGTCATTTTTCCGCCAGTGGACTTGCAACTAGGCTTTATCTCCCCAACTTCCCATCCCCTCCAGAGCCTGTCACTCCAGACCAGGGAGGGCAGGCCTTTATCTGGGCTCTGGTTCCTCCCCGGGGACACCAGGTCCCAGGCAAGAGAACTTGAAAGGCTCTCCCATGGCGGTCTTATTCCTCCTCCTTCTCCTCCTCGGGGGGCCTCCTCAGGCTGCTGCAGGTAAAGAGCAGGAGGTGGGGGCTCTGCAAGGCTGCCGCTTCTCCTTAGGGGCCTGGGGCAGGCATCTGACTCACGAAGGTAGATTTTCCCCAGCTGACCTCCCCCACCTCTAACACTGGGAGAGACCCAGAGACCCTGAGGACCCAGGTCATGTGCAGTTTCCTTTAGAAAATGAGAATCGGTGAGTAACTGCTTCCAGAAAAGGAGAAATGAGAGGAAGAAATACGGGTATTTGCCAACTATTCCACCTTTTCTCTCTTGCCCTCAGATTCCCTCATGCATTTGGGGAAAGGGAGGAAAGCCCCTACCCTCTCTCTCCATCTCACCGTTTTTTGTAGCTGTCCCTTGCGAAGTGTGCTTATAGCCAGACCAGTGCCGGGAGACCTCAGGAAGGAAGGAAGCCAGGGGTTGGAGGTTGAGATGGGGGGTGGGGTGGGGTTTGATCTCATGGAGGTATCTGGCCTCACACAAGCCCCTCCCTACAGACAACATCCAGGCCATCTATGTGGCCTCGGGGGAAGCAATGGAGCTACCATGTCCCTTGCCACCCACCCTCCATGGGGACGAACTCCTGTCCTGGTTCCGCAGCCCTGCAGCAGGCTCCTCCACTGCCCTGGTGACCCAAATCCAAGTGGCCAGGCCAGCCCCAGACCCCGGGAAGCCTGGAAGGGAGTCCAGGCTCAAATTGCTGGGGAACTACTCTTTGTGGCTGGAAGGATCCAAGGAGGGAGACGCTGGGCGGTACTGGTGCGCGGTGCTGGGTCAGCGCCACAAATACCATAACTGGAGGGTGTATGATGTCTCCGTGCTCAGAGGTGAGTGGGGGCATGAGACCAGGGGCTACTGGGAGATGGGGAAGCCCGAGCAAGGAACTGAGGGCCCCTCTCTCCCACAGGATCACAGTTCTCTGCCAAGGCTGCAGACGGAGCCGCCTGCTCTGTCCTCCTGTGCTCCGTGGTCCCTGCCAGGCGCCTGGACTCTGTGACCTGGGTGGAGGGGAGGGGCCCTGTGAGGGGCCATGTGCAGGCCTTCTGGGGCGACGGGGCTGCCCTGCTCTTGGTGTGTCCCGGGGAGGGGCTTCCTGAGTCCAGGGGCCGCAGACCCAGGCTCATCCGCTGCGTCGGGCCTCAGAACAAGGGGGTCAGCTTTAGCCTGGCAGGTAACGGGGTGCGGGGGGCACCGGGGTGCGGGGGGCAGGGCGGGATGGGAAGGGTGTTCCTTCTGGCACATCCACCCTGCTGGCCAGGGGAGGAGGTGAGAAAGAGGCGAATTTGTTATTGGCCCGGTCAGGAGGGTGGTTTCTGGTGGAGCTGACCATCACTGCGGGAGGAGGGCCTTTCCCCCCTCAGCTGAAGCCGTAACCATAACCGAGGAGCGGGTGGTTAAGCCAACTTTCTGGTGGAATAGACAATAGCCAAGAGGGGGGAGAAGATTTCTGTGGAATATGTCATTGTTTAAAAATAGGCTAACCTATGATTTGTGTGAAATATCCCATAGCAGAGAGGAAGAAAATAAGAATTATTGCTGGGGTGATAATTGTCTTTTGAAGAAAAGATATATGCACGGATGTTATAATGGCCCATTGATAGTAAAGGCAGAAGGAGAAAAATATGTGATTGTTTTACCAGAAAAAGTCCATTATACAAAGAAAGAACGCTGTTGGATGTGGGATAACCCTTTACACGCGGGAGGGAGGAGCCCAGGGCCCCTACTTCCATCAGCAAAGGTCAGTGATGGCAGGGGCGGGGCTTTACTGCCCCGACACCCACTCGCCGACGGTGCCTGGCATGTGGTGGGCACTCAGCAAATGCTACGGAGTGAGTGGCGGAAGAATGAATACATGCAAAGCACTTTTTTTCCCTGAAAGGGTGGATTACTGTGAGGGGTATGAGGAGGAATGACAGCATGGCTGGCGGTCTGCTCTGGAGTTAGCTGTCGTGTGTGTTGGGTGTGGGAGGCGTTGTTGGCTCATGGGTCAGGGTGAGAGACCTAGAAAGGGGCAAAGTGGGGGTGGGTCCTGGGGACAGGGAAACTTCGGAAGTTTCTTTTGGGAGAGCCCACCAGTCGATGTGGGAAGCCTCTCTTTGGGGCACAGGGACAGACCCCCTCACTGCCTCCCTCCTTGCCTCTTGCCCTTATACAGCCCCCACGGATGCCTCCCCTGCCCTCTGCGCCCCTTCCACAGGCTGGGATGTGCCCTGGATCCTGATGCTGCTGTTCACAGCAGGCCAGGCTTTCGCCATCCTGGTCCTCAGCATCATGCTCTGGAGGCGGAGGGTCCAGGGGGCTCAGTGCAGAGGTAAGGACCCCCCCCCCCTGCAGGGGGAAGAAGAGAGCACTTGGGTGCAAGCTGGAGGGGGGCTCGCATTGCCTTTGTACCACATCTTCTCCAGGGGAGGGGAGGGGAGGGAAGGCAGCTCTGGGCTATCTGGTGACTGTCTGCCTCACTCCATGTGGCTCCTTCTCCCCAGATGCCTCGGTTCCTCAGTTCAAACCTGAAATCCAGGTCTATGAGAACATCCACTTGGCCCGTCTCAGGTGAGGAACAACGAGGGGACAGAGGCTTACATCCCCGAGGGCACTGGGTTGGGGTGGACAGGAGTCCTGCTCCTGAGGCGGTAGGAATGGAAGTGTCCTTAACCCATCTTTCTGTTCCACAAAACCCACAGCCCACCTGCCCCCAAGACCAGATGATCTCCGTGGCATCTGCTGGAGAGTGACCTGCGGTCTCCCTGGCCACGTGGCACTGAAAGAGCCCCTGAAAGTCTTGGCGAGAGGGGTGGGGCCGAGCGAGCTACGTCACAGCCGCTGGTCTCCCACAGACAAGCTGTGTGTGTTGGGGGGCGGGGGGGGGAGAAAGGAGATTCATTATCTTGTGATGTCACCTTTGAAAAAGTGTGGTCTCCTATCTGTAGCAGCCAGTGGAGGGTGGCCCTGAACCCACAGGCATGGGACTGAGGGAGCTGGTGCAGCTGGAGGGGAGCTTGGTGCAGCTGGCAGGGGTGAGGAGGGTGGGGTGGGCAGAGAGGAGACAGAGGAATCCAGGGCCTTGAGCCGGAGGGCAAATGGGGGAAACTGAAGGGGAGAGAAGGGAGGAGACTCAATCAGACCAAGGGATGAGATGATCAGAGGTAGAGAAAAATGGAAGCACGAAGCAGGGGGATTGAGGGACAGGGAGAATGGAAAGGAAACTCAAGTTGCCTCTAAATGAGGTCAACAGCTCCATCGTCACGAAGCAGAGGAGAGTTGAGAGAGAACGAGCACCTTCACTTAGACCCCAGACTCCCTCAGATGGAAGGGGAGGGAGCTGGGTCAATATGGGGCCCATGCTCGGCCCCACCCTGCCACCCTCCTTATCCTAGGCACTCCGTTGTGGCATCCGGAGCAATGAGTCGCTTATGTCACCCTGACATCCTGGGATCCGAGTCACACACTATCTCCCTGGGCAGGAGTGTCCACGGGGCGGGACCGTGCATTCCCGGGCGGGGCTGTGATGGGCCCTGCGTGCAGGGCTGTCTGGGGAGCAGGGGCAGGTCTGGGCTGGTGAGGCAGGGACGCTCCCAGCTCACCACGCGGGCAGGTCAGGCAGAAATGAGCTGGCCTCCCAGCCACACCCTCACAGCAGCTCCTCCAGCGCCCTTTTGTGTATCTGCTCAAGCCTGGGCCTCGCTGGGAAAAGCTTTCTTGGAGGCTTTCTCACCTAAAGCCTCCACTCTGCAGTGGCTTCAGCTCATCTGTCGGCAGGAAGGAGGCGCGAATGACAGACAGAGAACGAGATGACAATTATGGTTCGGGTTCCAGCCCCAGCGCAACCACCAAGAACTACAGTTTGCTTTTAGAGAAAACATGCGTGCGCACACACACACACACACACACACACACGCACGGCAGTGTTACCAGACCCCAGATAGCACTTTATTAAATTCGCCCTTCATCGTTCCCCAAGCCCTCCTTCCTAAGTTCCTGATCTACCAAATGGACCTTCCCTGGCAAGACACCCCTCCTCTCCATACTGGGGCCCCTGCCACCCCCTTGCCTGGGACCCACAGCTCCATCAAGCACCTGCCTTGCCAGAGACCTGGGGCTTGGAGAGGGCATCAGCCTCGGTATCTAAAAAAGACAAAAGACACAGAACAGCATTTTTATGAGGCCGGGCTCTGGGCAAGTTGTAGGGGCTGGAGGAGGGCCCACAGGAATCAGGTCTTGGAAGAGCTCTGCAAAGCTGTGGGGCCAGGGCGCTGAGGCCTGTCTGTCAAGCCAGGAACTTGGCCACATCTCAAGTGTCAGGCAGGTGTCTCCAGGGCCGCGGAGATGGTGAGGGCGTCTGGGTTGAGGGCCGCAGCTCTGAGGAGGCTAGAGGAGGAGGTGGCCTCCGCAGGTGAAGCTGGCGGTGAGGAGCAGGGTGGGGACCAGGGGCCTGGGGGCCCCGTTGCACAGGTCCTGGTCGCAGCAGTGGTGCCGCAGCGCGTAGGAGCGTGACCAGTAGGTGGCATGGCCAGGCAGAGGGCACTGGGCCCTGGGGAGGCAGCCTTTCCGCTGGATGACCTCATTCTGCTCTGTGGGAGGAAGGGGCGATGCTGAGGCGTGAGGCTGAGGGGGGTGGTCTGAGGTCGGGCCAGGGGTAGAGGGGGGGCAGGACAGAGCGGGTGGGGGACCACCTGGGGGAGGGCCACTGGACCAGAGTCCTACCTGAGGTGCCGATGCTGACGCCACAAGCTTCATCATCCCCACACTCGGTGGGAACAGGGTAGCAGGGTTTGGCGAAGCTGCAGGTGTAACAAGTGGAGCCGCCGCGGGGCAGGGAGAGTGTTGAGAACCTGCCGGGTTGGTGAGATCAGGAGGGTGG